CACCGCTCCCTCACTCTTATCCGCATCTGCGGGGTGCTACGCACATACACAGAGAGAGAGAGAAACACACACACACATATAATATATATAATATATATATATATATATGTATATATATATATATATTATATATATATATATTCACATATAGAGAGAGATAATAATACATACGCAACGAGAGAGAGAGAGAGAGAGAGAGAGAGAAAAAAAACAAAGGGAGAGAGAAAGAGAGACATACATAGTGATATATATATATAGAGAGAGAGAGAGAGAGAGAGAGAGAGAGAGAGAGAGAGAGAGAGAGAGAGAAAGAAAGAGACAGAGAGAGAGAGAGAACAAAAAAAGAGAGAAAGCATAAAGAGACATACAGGGAAAAAGACAGCAGAGGGAGACAGAAAAGAGGACCAACATATACCCAAACTGCACCAACGATGTTGCAACTTAGCCTCCCGTGCCAAATCCCGTCCTCATTTATGTCTGCGACCATCCGTCTCCGCTGGGCGAAGCGCCCCCTTGAAAGACGAGAGAATTGCTCCGTCGGCCGGCAATTCAGGGGGAACGCCGATTGGAACGAAACCGGCTTCCATCCTTCAAGCCATAATGACTGCAGCTGTGTGCGGCTGTAAAACTCAAGGGCATGCAAGGTGATAGCCCTACTTTTAAAAACCGGCCCCCCGCCCGTATCGCAATTGCACCATATTCAACTTCTGGTAACACAATCAAATGAAATCCCAAACGAGAGCCCACATCTGAAAAGGAACCACCCTCCATCCGTGCAGCCGTTGCAACTTGTTGCACGTGTTGCGAGCTGGATGGGAGACGTGTCGAGCGATAACGTGCCCCGCCCGCCCGCGCCCTGTCTCCCCAACGAAGGCTTCGCGCGCCCCGCCTACCTCTTAACCGGAAGGGGCCCGCTCCCGACCCACCGACCAAAAAAATCGAGCGATAACCCATTTCTGAAAACGAGCCGCCGTCCATCCAGGTAACCATTACACAAAGTGTCCGCGGCACCAGCAAATATTTCCACACTGGAAAGGTGCCGTCCTCCATCCGTCGACCTAGTGGGGACTTCAAGCGCTCCGCTCCTTTCTGGCTCTATCCCTCCTCCGTCCCTCCAGCTTCTTCCTCCTCCTTGCCTCCCCCCTTCCTCCTCCCTCCCTCCACCCCCCACCCCCCCTGCACCCACCATCCAGCACCCGTGGCGTTCAAAGAGAATCACGAGAGATTCCCCCAAATCTCTAATTTCACCCTGGTTGTCTACGTGTTCAACATCGGCGTATCTGTTTCCCTTCTCCCAGCTACTCGCCTGGACTGTTTCTGGATGGACCCGTTGGTATACGCGACGCGTCAACAACTCATATACGCTGTACTCGTGAGGCGTAAGGATGTCTAGTGAGAGAGCACGGTTTGGTGAGGGTCCGCCCTTCGTTTGTGCGAATGTTGGGGTCTAAGGTTTGGGGTTCGTACCAAGCAGGAACCAGCCTAAACTACGTTTAGAATGGACCGCGCGCAGCATCCGTATGCCAGTGGGGATGTCCACGCTCTGTGACTATCAGCACGCGAACAGCTCTCAAACGAGAGCGCGTGCTTGATAAGAAAAAAGCGAACGTCAACCCCATGATGCGTGATGGAACCTCTGACGACACACCGAGCTTGAAACCGGCTTGCCCTCCACCATTGCAGCTGCGTGGGATTTCGAGCCTAATTTGCTTTGTTGTAACGGGCTGTGAACTGCGCGGAAGCCTGGTACGAGACTCCATCTGTGGGACAGGCCCGTTCACCATCTGTCAACCTGTTAAGCATGTCAAGCTTGAGGGCCACACAGTGCAATGGCGGCTCAACTTTCCTCCTCCAGTGAAGTGACGACAACGGTGCGAAGTCCTGCATGGCCCACACATACAAACAAGATTACCATCCAGCGTTGCGAATGAGGGTGCGCAGGATGCCCGTTTTACCATCAGGAACTGTGTTGAGTGCCGCGCGTGCAGAAGAGACGCGCCCACAGTGGAGCGTGTGCGTGCGAGCGATGTTGGCTCAAGCGAGCCCAAGAGTTTCAAAAAGACCCACCCTACATTTGCACCACACCTGCCAACAAACATTGAAGCGCCATCCCCGCTTGCAGGGGTAGTGAGTGCCGCTGATCCTGTGCCCGGGGAGCTCCCAGAACGCTCCCCCACAAAAAAGCCAAAGAACGCCAACCTGCGGCAAACTCTTGTCGTGGCGACCTGCGCTTTGGTTCCTGACACCGCGTGTTTCGCTCAACATTGAACGATCGTGGCCTTCCGATGGCTCAAATTCGATGTCGGCCAAGCCAGGGCCACCTGCTGCGTCAAGGCTTGAAAGCTGGGGTCACCGCCGGGTCGACACGGCACGAAGCTGCCGTATCTAATAAATCTTCCTCCTCCTGCTCCTCGATTTACCTCGAGAGTTCCACTACTGCTACAGGTCGCTGTTGCATGGCTGTTACACCCGAGAAAACCCAATCAGTGGATTCTGCAAACAAGGAGGTCTTCGCCAGCACTCCAGGCCTGTCCTCTCTCTCTGTCTATATCTGTGCCTATCTCCTCCGTTTACTTTTAGATGCCTTGCCCTCTCCCTGCACTCAGTTCTCAAACACATACTCTCTATGCTCTTTCTCACTTCCTCTCTGTCTCTTTCCGCCTCTCTCTCTCTCTCTCTTTCTCGATCCCTCTCTCCCTCTCTCTCTTTCTTTACTCAGCTCTGCTCTAGACACTCCGATGTGGAGTCTTTCGTCTGTATTATCTAATCTATCATTATCGCATCGTTTTGCATATCGCTCGATCTAGCATGTGTGATCTGTATACATGTCCATGGTCGCAAGCACTTGAATCCTTTCCCTCTCCCCCTCTCACTCTCTCAGGTGATTCTACATACGTATATCTAAGCACACGGCGCCTCTCTGTCCCTCTCTCTTTTTCCATATCTCTCTCTTCGGTTGCTAACCGATCTGATCTGCCTTTCAACTCGCTCTGCCCCCTGCTCTCTAATATCTGCCCTGCCTGCTTAGCTACGTACTCTACTATTTGAGACAACTTCTCTCGACAAGCGCGTTCCACTACTCGCAAAGTAGCTACTCGCGAATGGCCTGAATCCGCCGCGGGGGACGCACGATCCGTTACACAGAAGAAAACATTGTTTTGGACGTTTGCGAGTAGGCACTTTGCGAGTATTGGAACGCGCTCGGTGGCTCTCTACTCTCTAGGATCTACTGCCTCATTTCGACAATGGTCGCAAGGACCCAGGCGCCTGGCCACGACGACAAACTCGAAAGCTTCAGAACCTTGCAGCGCCGGGAAACCAGGAAACCAGGACCGGGAACCCGGGAACCCGGCCACCCATCGAGATCGGCCCAGACCCCAGAACCTGAACCCGAAACCTGGACGCCACGCCTCCCATCGACATCGGCCCGCCGCATTCCGCCCACACGTTCCGTCTCCGCTTCCTCCTCGCTCCTCCTCGACGTCTTCCGAGGCTCCCCGGCACTTTCTCAGAGGTCGTCGCCCCCACGGCTGGGCGCACCTCGGAAAAATGGGTCTGGGGTCCGGGTGCGGGCGGCTGTTGCTCGGCCCTCGATCGCCCTCTTTCCTCGTTCCTCGTTCCTCCTCCTCCTCCTCCTCCTCCTCCTCCTCTCTCCTCTCTCCTCCTCCCTCCTCCTCCTCCTCCTCCTCCTCCAGTCACGACGAGGCTGTGGGTTCAGGGGGGGCTCTGTTGCTCGGGTCGCTCCTCGGATCCAGGTCGTGGAACCTGTGGCCGAGGCCCGCCAGGGTCTGAAACGCCACATCGTGCCTTCTTCAGCGCTCCTTCTGGTAGTACGCCGAGTGTCTTCCTCGTCGGTCCTCGAGCGGGTCCTGCCACCATCGCTCCTCTCAATCCTTCAGTCAGCTCCTCCTCGTCGCCTCACCAGGCGTGCCAGTCGGGCGGTCTGGGCGTCTCGTCTGGTCTCCTTACAGCTCGTGGCCCTAGAGCCTCTGGGCTCCCAACGGGTACACTGGCTAAGAGCAGGTCGACTCCAAAGTCGGGCCTTCTTTTGAGAGACCCACTCCCGTGCTTTGCCCGATCGACGCTTGCACTGAAGGGGTCCCAACGGATATCGAACGAAAACCAATGAATGTGCCAGGCTAGATGCTGGTAGCTGCCACGGGGTTCCGATTCCACTTTCGCGGCCGTTTTCGGTGGACGGCCGGGTGCCCAGTTTCCTAGTTCCAGGCCTGTCGTTCCTGGCACTACACGGTTCCCTGGTCTTCGAGTGTTTGGTTGCGGCCACATGCGCTGGTCCTTGCGACCACGGTCAAAATTAGATAATAGGTGGTGGAGCGAATCAGGCAGTAGAGGGCAGAGTTGAGCAGAGAGAGAGAGAGAGAGAGAAAGAGAGAGAGACATACACATCTGTGTATACATATATATAGAGAGAGAGAGGAAACAACATGAGAAAGAGAAAGAGAGAGAGAGAGAGAAACCGCGCAAGGAATATTAGAGAGTATGTGTCTGAGAATGGGCAGCAGGGCGAGGTGAGATGGTATATGCATACATGTAAATGTATAGAGAGACAGAGAAAGAAACAACAAAGATAACGAGAGAGAGATATTAAGCACCCTTGAACGAGATAGTATGATGTAGAGAGAGAGAGGAAGAAACAGTGAGAGAGACTTACAGAGAGAGAGAGAGATAAGCAGTGTAGTATAGTAGAAATAACAGAATGGCACGCGCGTTCATACATACATATATATATACACACACACGTAACTATGTGTGTGTATATATACGGCTCACATCTCGGAATGCACATGTAGACACACACATGAATACACATGAGGGAGAGAAGTAAAGAGAGAGAGAGAGAGAGAGAGAGAAAGAGAGACGACAGAGAGAGAGAGAGAGAGACAGAGAGAGGACGAAGTATATAATGAGATGACAGAGTCGTTCCCCAATCAGCGCTTGTGCTGAAAAGGGTTCCAGGGAGGGAGAGAGGGCAGGGAGACGACGGAAAGAGGACCTGCTGGGAGCCGATCTGGATCTCGGGGCCGAAGCCCGCCTTGTCCTCGTCCAGCCACTCCGACCCGTCGAGCGCCGGATACACGAGCACCTCCCGCTGCCCCCAGCCCAAGCCCAGACCCTGGCCTTGGGGGAGCGGAGGGGGAGAGCAGGGCAATAGAGGGCATGGGGAGGCAGGTAGGGGCAAGCGGAGATGGCAAGGCTAGGGGAAGCGGGAGGTGAAACGGGGAGGGGGGGGGGGGATGGGGTGGAGGGATGGGGGAGAGAACGGGGTGGGGGATGACCTTTTTGAACTTTGCGGCGGGGCGCGGCGCAATGCAAAGCACGCAGCCTGAGCAACTCTGCAGAGCCCGCACGGGGTGGAAGGTGAGGGTTGGGGTGGGCGAGAGGGCCTCCTCCTCCCTTTCCTCCTCATCCGCCTCCTCCTCCGCCTGTCCTCCTGTCCTTCCCTCCCCCTCCCCTCTCCTCCCATCGCATACGTACCCATCAGGGGAAGTGAGGGGAAGGGCGATGCTGACGACGCCGTCCGCCGCCCTCGCCGCCGCCGCCACCGCCGCCCGGTCCGAGATCGCCTCCCCACCCCCTGAGCGCACTCTGGTTAGGATCTCCTGGCGAACGCGACCGTGGCGACGACGGATGGCCCCCCTAAAGTCTGCACCCCTTCCCCGGGACCAGCGTTTCATCCCGAGGCGATGGTTGACAGTCCTGGGGCCCGCTGAGGGCCCCAGGAGGCCGAACATCTGCAAAACATCGAGGCCTCAAGCACGAGAAGTGTCGTCGTCGTCGTCGTCGTCGTCATCGTCGTCGTCGTCGTCGTCGTCGTCGTCGTCGTCGTCGTCGTCGTCGTCGTCGTCCTCGCCGCCGCTGCCGGCTGTGGGCGGCGCGCAGCGCACAGGGGGGTGGAGGGAGGGGGGAAGGCTTCTTGGAAGGAGGCTGCCTCCTCAGAGGGCGCCGGGCTTACAGTCATCGGCCTGACCTAAGGAACGATAAATAAGGAACGAATCCCCTTTTCGATCCCAAGGAATAACGCATAAGGAACGATACATAAAAAATAACGCATCAGGAACTGTAAACAACGCATGCAGACCTAAGGAACGACCGAGCCCCTTTTGAAAAGCAAGTGTTCCTTACTCAAGCCGCTCACTGCACAACTATAGGTGAGGCCCGCGCCTTCTGAGAGGCAGGGATGCTTCTAAGAAGCCCTCCCCCCTCCCCCCCAGCCCCACCCCCCTCTGCGTGTGGCCGAGGTTGTCGCTCCGTGCGGCCGCTGGAGCGCCTGGGCGTCGGGCACGCCGGCGCCGCCCCGCGCGCACGCGGACGCCACCTTCGGGGTCGGGGGGGGGGGCAGGCGCAACCGCGGGGCGGGCGGTGCCCCCCAAGGGGGGGCGCCGCAAGTTCGAGGGTCGAGGATGTTTTCGACGAGCACCTTTTCGACGAGCGCCCCTTTGGAGGATTCTTGTCCGATGATTTGCTCCGAGGACTTGTGTCGACGAGGCTCGAGGGTCGAGGAAAGCTGCCCTCCCTCCCCTCCTCCTGGCCCCCTTTCGGGGATCTAACCACTGCCCGGGGTCAGTGCGCACCGGGGCCAGCCGAGCTCTGCAGGACCCCGCAAGATCCTGCACGCAAGCCCAGGTCAATGCACCCCTGGCTCCCCAGACCCCCGACGTCATGAATTTTTCATGACGTCGACCCCCAGCGGTCTGGACCCATCCCCCGGGACCGGTTCTTCGTCCTGAGTCGTTTTTTGACGGTCCCGAGGGCCGGTAAGGGCCCCCCAGAGGCCAAACATTATGAAACACCTCCCGCCGTGATTTTTTCATGACTCGAGGGGGTCTGGGTCTGCAGGATCCTGCAGGATCCCGCGCTCTGGCCGACCCCCGTTTGCGTCGACCCCCGTCTCTGGAGCCCCGTCCCCAAACATGCGACGTCCTGATTTTTTCAGGACGGCGTCCCCCGAAGTCCCGACCCTTTCCCCGGGACCGGTTTTTCGTCCTGAGTCGTTTTCTGACGGTCCCGAGGCCCGGCGAGGGCCCCCAAGGGCCGAAAATAGTGAATAACTTGCCGTCCTGATTTTTCTACGACGCTATCATGTCTGGGTCCTCCTCTCGCCCGCCTCTCCTGGGGCCGAGGCGGGCGCGGCCCTGCGAGCGGGCCGTCGCGCGCTCCGAGCCGGGGGGCTCCCAGCTGCGCCGGCGGGCGCGCGGCACAAGGCGGGCGGGGCTTCGGCCTCGGGGGGCTGGAATAAGCCTCGCGTGTCCTCGCAGCTCCGTCTTTTGGCGTGTTGAGAGAAGCGGAGCGGGCTGCCTGACCTGTCTGGTGCAGTTTTTTCACTCATGGGCAGAAGGTGCGCCGCTCCGTGGTCGGCGAACCCGTAGGCCTTCAGCCTCTGGAGCTGGAGGCTCTGGCCTTCTGGTGTCTCTGGAGTGCCTGGAAATGCTCAATGTCCCTGTCTGATGCAGATTCGGCCGATCCCCCCTACAGAAAGCTCGCCAAGATCTCCCTCGGCCTCCATCCGGAAGTGCTCGGATCCCGAGCTCGAGCTGGAGCGGGAAAGTCGGCAGGCTCCGCCGGCTCACCTCCATCTCAGAGACGGGCCCGACCGCGTCGGGGTCGAACACTTCGCATGGAGGGGGAGATGAGGAGGAGGAGGAGGAGGAGGAGGAGGAGGAGGAGGAGGAGGAGGAGGAGGAGGAGGAGGAGGAGGAGGAGGAGGAGGAGGAGATGAGGAGGAGATGAGGAGGAGGAGGAGGAGGAGAGGAGGAGGAGGAGGAGGAGGAGGAGGAGGAGGAGGAGGAGGAGGAGGAGGGGGACACCTGACATCCGACCTATCCCTCCCGTTCCTTCCCACTGCGCTGACGTTTTCTCTGTCCGCGGGCGCGTGTCATAGCCGACCCGGAACTCCCCCCCCCGCCCCCCCCCAAACGCCATCGGACAAGGGGAGCTGCGTACACAGGAGGAAGAGGCGGAGGCGGAGGAGCAGGAGGAGGAGGAGGAGGAGGAGGAGGAGGAGGAGGAGGAGGAGGAGGAGGAGGAGGAGGAGCAGGTTGTTGTCGGGGACGGGCCTAGAAGCCGAGCTCCTCGGGGCCTATCCGAAGTCCGAGGCCTCCGCGTCCGACTGTCCGAAATCATCGGACGAGCCTGAGGAGGAGGAGGAGGAGGAGGAGGAGGAGGAGGAGGAGGAGGCGGGTGAGAGACAGGATGGGCAGGAGGAAAAGGAGAGTGAGGAAGGAGACGGACGAGGACGAACAGCAGCAGCAGGATCTGGAGCTGAGGGGGCGGGAGGAGCAGGATAACCAGTGGTAGGCGGAGGAGGGAAGATGGGGGGTAACAACAATGAGACAGGGATCAGGTCCAGAAAAGTAGCCTGCGTTGGGGCGAGAGCGACATTCTGAACAACGAAAGCAAAGCGCTGAGCCGAAGATGAGGCTCATGCTGCAGCGGGTTTAACATGTTGAACACCGGAAGCGATAACATTGCAAAACAAACAATGAGAACACCATGTGTTCTGAATCCTGGTGTAACAAACAATGCGCGAAGAGGGCCATACATCTTCCAGGAGTCGCACTCAGACTACATACTCGTGGAGCGAGCAGGAATGACAAGGATGATGAGGCTGCAGACAAGGAGGGGGTGTCCAAGACCCGCTCCAGTTCAGCGCCGTGCCTGAACTCGCTCGAAAACGTCTCTGTCAGGCTTGAAGCTCTAGTACGATACCGCTCGGCTTGTTGTAGCTATAGTCGGATTCTAACTTACTTGTGTTGTGTTCCAAGCGGGGTTGAAAGTATAGACGTCGCCTGCCCTCCAACCATCACGACAGAGCAATGCGCATCTCGAGTGGTCTCATGAAGTTGAAGATCCAGTGGGAGATAGGAGTTGCAGCCTTTGTGTAACTCTGCTGTAGCCCCAGTCATATTCGATTAGAGCTGTAGCTGCAACATGATCTGACAGAGCTCTAGCTAAAGTGCAAGTCGATTAGGGTCGCGCACACGTTGTAGGGCTCCATCAGAGTTGCAGCACAATCGGATTGCACTCGGGTTGCAATACGCGTGGTAGTTTAGCCGGCAGTTGGGCTATGCAGTACTAGAGTTGTAGCCCTGGTGCTTATCTCAAAGAGTTCCAGCCAGCCTGCATCCTCCCTCCGCCTCATTCTCGTCCTTTCCCTCATACTCCTCCTCCTTCCCCCCCTCTCCTCCTGTGAGAACTGGTGGGTCGTGAAGCGTGCGTCAAGGGGTCGGCGAGCAAGGCGGCGCTGTCTGAGTGGTGAAACAATGAATGCTTCCATCTTCACGACCTTGTCAGTCAGCGTAGCCGGGTTCCTACGAGACTGCGGTTACCCTTGGCACGTGCCTAGACCCATCCCTCGCACGCCCTCGAATATCAGGCAGACCTGGAGGTTGGGTTGTGCGGCCTGTACGTAGCTTACTGCCAAGCCCAGCTTAGAGGGCTGGGGAAGCTGTGGGTACTGCCAATCTCTAAGGCCAGTCGCGAGTATCTCGATCGGATTTCACGCGGCCTGTTCCCGAATCGCTGAACTTCAATCCTGGCTACGGTCAGGAATTGTTGCTTAGCGTGTCGCAGCGGCGGCCCCGGTGACACGCTGTGCCCCGCGAGTGGATAGCGCGTCGCTCCGCTCCGCCGGGAGGGAGCCTCGGAGAGGCTCGGGACGGTGACGCTCGGGGGCCGGAACGTGGTTAGCGTGTCGCGCCGAAGCGAGGTGGGCTAGAACTGGCGGCGCGACACGCTGAGCCAAAATTCCTGATCGCATTACTGCGTGATGGCGGAAGTCCTGGAAGTCCTCCTCTCCTCCTGCCCCAAATATGCGGTGCCCTGCTTTTTCAATGAGTACGCAGTCGCCAGAATCTGGACCCCTTCCCCAGGACGGGCTCTTCATCCTGAGCCGTTTTTTGACGGTCCCCGCGGCCAGGTAAGAGCCTCCAGAATCCGAAATCAACGAACAACCTCCACCATTGTGATTCTACGACGCGAGCATGCTTGGGGCCTCCTCCCCCTCCTCGAAGAAAAAACGGCGTAAACATGAACTTTCAACGGTCCGCGCTGATTTCTTGGGATCCGCGCTGGGCCCCCCTCCCTGGCGCGCAGAGCGCGCCAGGGGCGGCGCCGGCGGCGCCGCCTGGGGGCTCCAGCGCCGATCCGAGGAATCCTCGCGGAGCTCCGAAAGTTTATGGTTACACAATTCTTCCTTTTTCGATCCCAGAGGTCTTGAGGGGCAACGACAGGGGGGGGGACTGGCATAGGGGCTGGAACATCGACCCAGAATCGACCATACATCGCCGAGAGATCGGCGATGTGCCCCCGATAGCAAATCCGCACGTTCCTTGGCGGGGTGGGGCTATCGGACCCGTGTCGACAATCAGTGGGCGATTGGGGGTCGATGCATCCCCCCCTATGCCTATCCCCTCCTGAGGTCTGGGTTTGGCCCCCTATCGTTGCCCCTCCCTATGCCTACCCCCCCTATGCCTACCCCCCCCCCATGCCTATCTGCCTATCCCCCCCTGTGCCTGCGCCCCCCCCTATGCCTGTCCCCCCCCCGGAGGTCTGGGTTGCATCCCCCCCCCCCTATGCCTATCCCCCCCCCTATCCCCCCCCTATGCCTATCCCCCCCCGAGGTCTGGGTTGCATCACCCCCCCCCATGCCTATCCCCCCCCTGTGCCTATCCCCCCCCTATGCCTATCCCCCCCCCGAGGTCTGGGTTGCATCACCCCCCCCCTATGCCTATCCCCCCCCTCTATGCCTATCCCCCCCCTATGCCTATCCCCCCCCCTATCGTTGCACCCGAGGTCTGGGTCTGGCTGCCCCTGGCCACCAGGTGCCCCCCGGCCGAGAAGCCGACCGCCGCCACCGGCCCTGCCCGGGCATGCCGGCGCGCCACTGCGACCGCCGCCGCGAGGTCGGCGCAGGACTCGGGGCAGGGGCAGGGGCAGGGGAGGGGCAGGGGGCAGGGGGGGGGGGGGGGGGGGGGGGGGGGCAGGGGAGGGAGAGGTTGAGGCCCAGACCTGGCGGCGCGCACAGGGGGGCAGGGGGAAGGCCGGCGCCTTCTAAGAAGCAAGGGTGCTTCTGAGAAGTCTGCCTTCCCTCCCCCCCCCCCCCCCCCCCCTGCGTGTGGCCTGGCTCAAACAACGACCTTGCAAGCGCTTCCCCCCTCGGGCATATCACGGCGGCGCCCCCCGGCGGAAGTTCCAAGGCAGGCCTGCCGCAGAGGGTGCGACCCGTGGCTGACAGACATTCTGGCGTGGATCTCACGACGGAGCCCCTGCGCCTGGCTGGCAGACATGCTCGCGTCGTCAAAAGAAAGCCGACATTTCTCGTCGTTCTCGGCCTCTGGGGGCCATTGCCGGGCCCCGGGGGACTGCAGAATGGATCTACCCCGAACCTTGCCTTCTCTTCGAATATACAAGACCTGCGCATAAGGTTTGTAGATCTGCAAACACTCTGTGTGTTTTGGTCGCAGGCTCGACGGAGAACAACTTCGGGTTTAATCAGCTCTGTAGTCGATCTCCTACTCGAGAACTGAACGCCCAAACATGCTCGCGTCAAAGAACTAAACCCTTAAATTTCTCGTCGTTTTCGGCCTCTGGGCGGCCCTTACCGGGCCCGGGAATCGTCAACAGAACGGCTCGGGAAGAACAGCCTTGGCCTTCCGGCGACCGCGCACACAACAAACTCAAACAATAGCATGCCCGGAGGGGAACTGCACGGCAGGAGTGAACGAGAGAGAGAGAGAGAGAGGGAAGGAGGAGGAGAAGAGAAAGAGAGAAGAGAGAGAACAGAGAGAGAGAGAGAGAGAGAGAGAGAACGAGAGAGAGAGAGAGAGAGAGAGACAGAGAGAGAGAGAGAGAAAAGAGAGGGAGACAGAGAGAGAAAAAAAGAGAGAGAGAGAGAGAGAGAGAGAGAGAGAAAGAGAGAGAGAGAGAGAGAGAAAGAGAGGGAGGAGGGCCAGGAAGACCCTGTGCCCTGCGAGCTGACAGCGTGCCGCTCCGCTCCGCAGGGGAGAGCCCGGGACGTGGTCGCGCCACGGGGACCGGCGGACGGCGGGCGGGCCGCGCCGAGGTGGTGGGCAGGAGCCGGCGGAGCGACGCGCGAAGCCACGGCTCCCGACTGCACTCCCCCTCCGGTGAGAGGCGGCGAGGGGGGGGGGGACCTGGAGGAGGCAGGAGGCAGGAGGAGGCAGGAGGAGGAAGGAGGAGGAGGAAGGAGGAGGGAGGAGGAGGAGGCAGGAGGAGGAGGAGGAGGAGGAGGAGGAGGAGGAGGAGGAGGAGGAGGAGGAGGAGGCAGGAGGAGGAGGAGGAGGAGGAGGAGGAGGAGGAGGAGGAGGAGGAGGAGGCAGGAGGAGGAGGAGGAGGAGGAGGAGGAGGAAGGAGGACGCTCAGCGGGGGGAAACGTCGACCTGGAATCGGTGATGAGTCGCCGGCAGATCAGCGCGGGGCCCCCCGCCAGCGAAAGCGCACGCTCCTGGGCGGGGTGGGCCATGGGGCCCCCGTCGGCCATGAGTGGGTGGCTGGGGGCCCGTACATCCCCACTGAGCCTCTTCCCCCCCCATCATGTAGGGAGCGCGCAGAGGACGTGTGCGCCCAACCGTGTACGTGAACGATACGAACGTTCGCGCAATGCGCACTCTCGAAACCAACGTGGACTCATGTACGTGTACGTCCTTTTTTCGCTCCTGACCTCACGTCGCCCCCGATCTGGCCGTAGGTCGGGCGTGCCTCCCTGCAGGCGGCTTCTAGAAGAAAAGCCAGAAATAGTCCCAAAATACCTCCACATGGCCAAGACCAGCAGAAAGATCGTCCCCAGACTTCTTTTCTTGACTGCTTCTGAAACTTCCTCCTGTCGAGGGATACGCCCGGCCTAAATCTGGCCTGGCGCCTCCCGGCTCTGCGACCCTCGGCGACGGCGCGGCGGCGGCCGCGCGCGGCGGCGGCCCCCCGCGGCCTCGCGGAGGCCGGCGCCCGGGAGCAGGCGGTACTTCAGCACGAGGGCGGGCACGCCCAGGCGCTCGGCGAAGAATCGGGCGATCGGCGCAGCCTGGAGGCTGGCGGCGCGCAAACAAAAGGGGGGGGGGGGACAAGGCAAGACAGGGCACGCGCTCCGAAGAACCTCTGATCGGCTAGACTACCCCGATCTGCTCCAGGTTCGGAGGAACATCCCGCAGGGGACTTGACAGCAGGGCGAGGTGGACTCTCGGAGACAGGGGGTCGGAGGCAGGGGGGGGGACTTCTTAGACAGAGGTCGCTTCTTAGAAAAGGCGCCGGCCTTACATCTACAGACAAGGCCCGCGCCTTCTAAGGAGCAGGGGTGCCTCTAAGACGCCCCCCCCCCTCCCCACACCCCCCTCTGCGCGTGGCTGAAAAGGGGTGCAGTCGGACCTGGGCCAGAAGAACATCCCTCGAGAACACGAGACCCTCCGCCGGCCAAAAGCAAGAGAACGTTCAAGGGCACCCTCCCCAGGATGCACAACAGCATCCAACAAGCACGAAGAACATGTGGGCACCCTCCCCGGAACGACCTCGACCCGATGCCTCGGTCCGACCGTCTGAGAGAAAGACATGTCGGCATAGCTACAGACTCTTGGCGACGTGCACTGTTCCCTCTCCTCCCCTCGGAGACAGCTCCATCCTAGACGTCGAAGAGCGCAGAACGGCATGATCACAGGCGCTCGGAAGTCCGCGCGGATCTGTTGGGTCGGCACTGGACCCCCCTGGCGGGGCTTCCGGCACCGCCCCTGGCACGCTCCGCGCGGGAGGGGGGGGGAAGCGTACAGCAGACACGTATGATGAGACATCTTGCTGCACAAAATCTTGGGGCACATTGCCCGTCGATCTTTGAGGATCCCAAGGTGGCCCAGAACTTCTGTGGGTCCCTGGGGCCATTGCGGCATCAGACGTTTCCGCCGGGCGCCTGCTGGCGGGCCGATTTCATATGTGGTGCGCCCATTGCAGAGGAGGACAGATCTGCATAGGCATAAACGTTCGGTGACCTGCGCTGCTTTCGTGGGTCGGCGCTGGACCCCCCCTGGCGGCGTCTGCGGCGCCGCCTTCGGCGCGCACCGCGCGGAAGAGAGGGAGGTCCGGCGCCGCCGGCGCCGCCTCTGGCGCGCACCGCGGGGAAGAGAGGGAGGTTTAGCGCCGACCCGATAACTCTTCGCAGAGATCCGAACGTTCATGTTCACTCAAATGCTTTCTTACATTATTATTATTATTCTTCTTATTATTATTATTATTACTATTCTTCTTATTATTATTATTATACTTATTATTATTATTATTTGTTTCTTTTTCTTCTTCTTCTTCTTCTTCTTCTTCTTATTATTATTATTATTATTACATGGCTGTTATTGATATCATTACTATGATTCTTATGCTTTTTAGAATTACTAATCGTGTTCTTCTGCAAAGGGGGAGGAGGAGTGCACGTCGCTGCAGGAAGCACCGAAGGCTACGCGCAAGAGTGACCACAACCAGGAGTGACTTTTGGTGCGCGGCTTTCGGGGGGCCGCGAGGGAGGCCAACACCAGGCGCGCCGGCCGTTGTTGCCACACCTCGCTCAAGTGGGCCCGCACGAACGAGGCAACTCCGGCGAAGGGCCACTCGGTTGCGTGGAGGCGATGGGATGCCCGGACGAAAGGGCCGGGGCTGAGCGGGTTGGCACCAGGAAGCACCCGCGCACCAGCGCACGGGCGGGAGCCCGCCCTCGAAACCGGAGCTCGCACCCAGCAGCATGCTACGCTTTAGAAGCAGCATCAGCATACAAGGCGAGGGGAGGTGGAGCGAGGCCAATGATTGGCGGCGAGCGAGGGGGGGGAAGCGAGAAGGAGAAAGCCTTCTCAGAAGGCTCGGAAGTCCCCCGACACTTGACGGCCTTCTGGGCGGTGCTCGAAAGATCGCCACGCACAGAGTGCTTCGCTGGCACGGTGGTGGATTTGCCGCCGGCGCCTGGGTGTGCCCGGATACCACACACCCGGTAACTCAGGCAGAACATCCGTCTACACTATTCGGCCTGACCTAAGGAACGACTAATAACGAACGAAGCCCCTTTTTTCCCAAGTGAATCTAGGAAACCCGAAGGAACACCAGGAGGGCTCGCCGCCAAAAAGGTAGCGGAACGCATGCAAACCAAAGAAACTGAGCCCCTTTTGAAAAGTAAATGTTCCTTTTTCAAGCCGGACCCTGTACAATTCGACTGCGAAGAGAAATCAGCAAAACCAACTTGCGCCAAAACGGCTCGAACTGCCTTGAGCCGAACTGGCTACGGGCGAAATGGCAACTGCGGGGACCCGCTCTTCCTCGGTCATCTACCGGGGAGACGTAAGACGCGGGCTCGAGGGACTCGGGTTGGACTGATGGGGCCATCAGGAAAATGACGATACCCAATCTGAAATTCGACGCGAGCTCCCGCTGCAGACGCTCTACGGAGCAAGGGCCATCACAGCTCAGGACGGGCACATCAGAAAGCGTCGGCAACCCCGAGTTCCGGCGAATTCGAGTCTTACCTGGGGGGATGTAAAGGTGGGGTAGGGGCAGAGGTGGGGCTGGGAGGAAAACCGCTTCGAGCAGCCCCTGCAGAAAAGGAAATGTGGGCATCCAACTGGGCTCGTTCCCTTGGGGACCCGCCCCCTCCAGGAACCCGCGACCTACGTTTCCCCGAGCCTACCATCCCAGGTCGCGCCCCACCGTGCACGACGCGCGCGCCCTCGCGCAACCGAGCGGGAGCAGGCCACCTGTTGCCACCCGGGCAGCGAGGCGCGAAGCGCGGGCTGTCTTCGCGCCCCCGGATCAAAACCTGCTCATGCAAGATATCCATGGACCTTCTCCTCCTCCTCCTCCTCCTCCTCCTCCTCCTCCTCCTCCTCCTCCTCCTCCTCCTCCTCCTCCTCCTCCTCCTCCCTCCACCGCCCGCCCCATGTCCCGACCCCATTTTGGCCTCCTGAGGGGGCCGCGCTCATCTTCCTTCATAGCAAAATCATTGATTTTACGAAGGTTTTGGGCTCCTTTTGTCCTTCTCAGGGGCAGCGCTCCTTTGCGCTTCTGAGGAGGTCGCAAGAGGCCCCAAGATGGCCCCAAGAGGCCCCCAGGAGCCTCCCAAGAGGCCTCCAAGAGGCCCCCAAGAGGCCCCCAAGAGGCCCCCAAGAGGCCCCAAGAGGCAAGAGGCCCCCAAGAGGCCCCAGAGGCCCCCAAGAGGCCCCAAGAGGCCCCCAAGAGGCCCCCAAGAGGCCCCCAAGAGGCCCCAAGAGGCTCCAAGAGGCCCCCAAGAGGCCCCACGAGGAGCCCGAACGACTCACACCAGGACGAGGGGCCCGAACGACTCACACCACGAAGAGCCCGAACGACTCACACCACAAGGAGGGGCCCGAACGACTCACACCAGGACGAGGCGCCCGAACGACTCACACCACGAGGAGCCCGAACGACTCACACCACGACGCGGGCCCCGAACGACTCACACCACGAGGAGCCCGAACGAGTCACACCAGGAGGAGGGGCCCGAACGACTCACACCAGGATGAGGGGCCCGAACAACTCACACCACGAGAAGCCCGAACGACTCACACCAGGACGAAGAGCCCGAACGACTCACACCACGAAGAGCCCGAACGACTCACACCAGGAAGAAGGGCCCGAACGACTCACACCAGGACGAGAAACCCCAAACGACTCAAATCACGAGGAGCGCTTTCTCTCCCTCCTCCTCCGCCTCGTCCTTCTCCCGCTCCCCCCACAAGGAGGATGTACAAGGAGGCGGGAGGAAGGAGGAACAGGGGAGATATGCGGGGCCAAGCGGACATACGCCTGCAAAACACGACTGTCGGCATGCTTCGCAAGAGTTGCTGCTGTGAGATGGGCTGGTGGGGATACGCGAAGCGTAGAGAATTCGAGTCTTACCTGGGGGATTTAAAGGTGGGGTAGGGGCAGAGGTGGGGCTGGGAGGAAAACCGCTTCGACCAGCCCCTGCAGAAAGGAAATGTGGGCATCCAACTGGGCTCGTTCCCTTGGGGACCCGCCCCCTCCAGGAACCCGCGACCTACGTTTCCCCGAACCTACCATCCCAGGTCGCGCCCCACCGTGCACGACGCGCGCGCCCTCGCGCAACCGAGCGGGAGCAGGCCACCTGTTGCCACCCGGGCAGCGAGGCGCGAAGCGCGGGCTGTCTTCGCGCCCCCGGATCAAAACCTGCTCATGCAAGATATCCATGGACCTTTTCCTCCTCCTCCTCCTCCTCCTCCTCCTCCGCCTCCGCCTCCTCCTCCTCCTCCTCCTCCTCCTCCTCCCTCCACCGCCCGCCCCATAAAACATGCAAAAATCGTACCTGGTTTTTTTATTCAATTTTTTTTTCCCAACCTCCCTGTGGTGTTGGGTCCTCGTTCTGAAGAGACAGCGCCCCGCGTCCCTCCCGCCTCCTCCTCCCTCCTCCCCGCACCGCACCCATTTCGGCAGACCCCTCACACGTTTCGTGGCCCCATAGGGAAAGCCCCAGTGGGAAAGTTCGCATGGCGGCCTCGGGCCAGTTCGGCGCACCCCTCGCGAGGATCGTGGCCCCATGGGGAGCCCCACCGAAGGCCCCAGTGGGAAAGTTCGCATGGCGGCTTCGGGCCAGGTCGGCGAACCCCTCAAGAGGATCGTGGCCCCATGGGGAGCCCCACCGGAGGCCCCAGTGGGAGAGTTCGCATGGCGGCCTCGGGCCAGGTCGGCGCACCCCTCACGAGGATCGTGGCCCCACAGGGAGCCCCATCGAACATGATAGTCACGACTGCGGTACTCACAGCTGCGTATGGTTGGGTCTTTCGCCAGGCGAATGGAATATTCTCCTGTAGAGGAACACGCCCCCCTACAGGCGGATTTTGAAGGAAACATCGAAAATACCCTCACAATATTCACATATAGCAAAACATCCAAACAATCGTCCCCTAACTGTTTTGCGACTATTTTTGAATATTCTCCTGTAGAGGGACACGCCCGACTTAAATCTAATTATGCAAAATCTACCCATGGACCATGCCAAAAAGGTTTTCCAGCCTCGTCCAGCCGTGGCTCTTCGACCTTGTCCTCCTCCTCCGCCTGTTCCTCCTCCTCCTCCCCATCACAGAACGGAGGAGGGACACTTTCCCGAGCGCGGCAAGCGCGCTTTCAACGCCTCCGACGTCCGACAGCGCCTCGCAGCCACCGTCCGATCCGCGAGGGCTGGCGCGCCCAGACGACAGGGTCGTCTCCAGGGTCGGCGGCATCTGCCGTAAGGCCCTCGCAATCTACCCGTGGACCATGCCAAACAGATTTTCCAGCCTCGTCCAGCCGTGGCCAAGGGGGGGGGCCCGCAGCCGGGCGCGGGCGCGGGCGCCACCTCTGCCCGGATGCTGCCGAGGAGGCGTCCCCCGCTGCACTGCACGCTTTCGCCTGGGAACACCAGGGAAGGGTAATGCGGGATGACGATTAATAAAAAATGGGGGGGGGGGGGGGGAACGATTAAAAAATAGTTTCCTGCTATTTCTGCACAAGTTTCTGACTGGAGGAGAACGATGAAAAGAAATAGTTTTCCAGCCCGCGGCCGGTTTTTTCTAATCGTCATCCAGGGCGCCGCCGCGTGAACACGACCCCCGGTCATTTATTCATCGTCATCCTCAATTAGGGGTACAGGTACCCTTTCCCTCCTCTGAGGTGCGGACCCAGTGACCCTCGGGGCACCCAAGGGGGGCCAGGAGCTCGCAGAGGCGTCGAAGCCCTCGCCCCTCGGGGAGGGCGGCGGGCGGGGAACACACCCACACGAACTGCATCGCGGGCCGGCCGCCTGGGCCGCGACCCCATTGATACCGGGCATTCCTTCGCGGATGCCCCGAAAGGAACGTACCCAAAGGATCGACGACGACGACGACGACGACGACGACGACGACGACGACGACGACGACGACGATCGCGCCCTGGACCCCCCTGGACGACGACGACGACGACGACGACGACGAGGACGACGACGACGACGACGACGATCGCGCCCTGGAACCCCCTGGAATCCAGACCGCGCAGACGTGGATATGGATACGCTCGCCGCTCGCGGGGGGGGGGATCGGCTACACGCAAGAGTGACCCTGTGTAAGAGTGACCTTTGGTGCGCGGCTTTTTGGTGGCCGCGGGGAGACCAAACCTGGGCGCGCAAGCCGCTGCTACCGCTTCGTTTTCAGCCATCTGAGGGCCCATCTGTGCCCGCACCAGAGGTCACTCCGGCGAAAAGTCACTCTTACGTCTAGTCGATCACCGCACGCGGGTGAGGAGGAGGCCGAGACGGGCGCCGCCTCCCGCGGCTGGAGATACATGTAGTTCCCCCCCGGGCAGATCACGACGGCGCCTTTCCAGGAGCAGGGGCGGTCCGAAAGGGGGACGTCTTTCTGGAGGGCAGGTCTCGGATGAGAACAACGAGACGATGCGATTCGGGGACGCACTGACCCAACTAACCGTCGGACCTACTATCGGGGAGACGAAAGACTCGGGTACGGGGGACTCGGGTTGGCCTGACGGGGACCATCATAAGAATGACGAGACCTAATCTGAAATTTGACGCGGGCTCCCGCTGCAAACATCCCACGAAAACGGGACCGTCAAAATCCAGGACGCGCTCGTCAACAAAAAAGTCGGCAAACACGAGTTCCGGTTTACTCGAGACTTACGTTTCCCCAATACCACCCTCGTCAAAATTAACCTCAAAGATGGCGACCACGCCCCTGCGATGTCGGCGCGCCTCTCAATGTCGATAAGCGCGCCTCTCCAATGTCGGGGCCGGGGCAAAAAAATTCTGACCGGGAACGGCTCGGAAGGTCGATGATGACCGACATAGGAGGGTCGGCGCATACAAGTACCTCGCAGTCATCGCTACTCTGTCCAGTATCTCCCCGCAGACAGTTCAGCCACGTAAGACATGTTCGAGGTTAATTTTGACCAGGGTTGTAGGACAGAGAGACATCCTTCAAGAACATGGGACCCTCCGCCAGCCAAAACACGCACACAACATCCGAGGGCACCCGCCCCAGGAGGCGCGAGAACATCCAACACACACGGAGAACATCAAAGCACCCTCCCCGAACCGACCTCGATCTTACACCTCGGGCCGACTGCAGCCCCGGTCAGCACTCCAGGGTCGGCCACCGCCCTGTCGCGCAGCCCGGCCGGCCGCTCAGTAGCTTCCGGCCCCGGGTCAGCGGAGGGCGGAGAGAGGGGAATCGGCGCCACGTGGCTCCCAAAGCCGGGTCGGGCAGAGGGGGTCGGCTGACCCCCTGTAGCGCTGGCCCCCGTTACGCGAACCCCGAACGATTGGCTGAGTACGCGTACCGTGATCTCCAAGGGTTATCTGGCGGCCCTCGTCTGTGAAACCCGCGCGGGGCAACAGGAAGGTCTGGAGTTCCTGGACCGTGGTGTTATCATGACTTCTTGCTCCTCTGAAGATCTGCCTTTTCTAAGGAATGCTTATACTCAGTATGAGTATTTGTTTCACGGCAAGTCCGCCTCCACAAGAACGCTCCTTCAGGGCTCTCCCACAAAATGACGGCGGCGCCTCCTGGCGGAAGCTCTCTCTTCACGATCGTATTGCCTGTTGAACGCGGGTCTGCCTTCAGAACGCTCTCAAGAAATCCGCGCGGAACGTCGACACATTTATGTTTGTGCCATTTGTTCTCCTTCGACCAGATCTACCGCTTGTGGAGGTCTGCGAAGACCGATCCCCTACGCGGCGGTTGCGGATACAGTCGGATTTGATTGGACAGGACACGCGAGAGGACACAAGACCCTTTCGAGGGCCACATTGCCATAGGAATGTAGGAGGCATGGGCCGCGAGACGCAGGACACAAGGGTACCCTTGATTCAGCTGGGTCGACCTACCAATCCGAGCCGCCTGTAGATCCCCACCTCTGCAAAACCTGCTTCTCGCCGTGAGCCGTCTCACTGGACGGCCGCCAGGCCCAGCACGGGGCCCGGAGGCAAACGGATACCAAAACCTTCTTGAAGGGGCCCAGGGACACACAAATAAATAGACACATAGAAGAGGGTTCCCAATATTTTCCAATATTTTCTGGGTTTTCGTCTTCCCCCCCGCTTGCCATATTTTCCCCTATTCTCCTGGGAATGGACGATGAATTGTGTCTGTGTGCTTTTTCCCCTCCTGACTTCTGTCTGTACAACGAAAGCGTGTAATAAGGACGGGTGGCAAGGACGCAAGACCCTTGAAGGCCGAAGTTGGGACTTTTTGGGCGGCGGGCGACCAAACCCCAAGGGTATCCTGAGAGGTTGGCCAGCGGGAGCGGCAGAGGACGGGCCGCAGAGGCACGGGCACAAGGGTACCCTGGAGAAGGCGCGCGTCCTTACTATGCGCGTTGACTGTAGCGCTTCACGACGCGATGAGGGGGGCATGGGCCGGGGGAGGTCTGGGCAAGACCAGCCAACATCGAATCGGGAAACCAGGTCCGATCCGACTCTGAATCGAATGGGGCCGCATCGTCACGGCTACGGCGCCTCGCAGGCCTCGGGCCGCATCAGATCGTCGGGATTTCGGAATCGAATCGGATCGGCCGCGTCGAACCCACCGACATCGTCGGATCGTCACGGCGTCGGGCCGGCCGATGCCACCGATCTGGCGTTGCTTAATGAGGGGGGCGACTGATGCGGGGGGGGGGGGGGAAACGTATACTTTTCGTGCCCCTCTTGGGCCCCATGGGGCCCCCTTCAGGGTGACTGTAGGGCACAAGAAGTGCAACTGGCTTCGCCCGCCCAAAAGATCGCGCCCCCACCACGCACCGCCCGACACCGCTATCATCCGACATCGAATCGGACATCGGACCGGCCGGGTCGAAATGCCCCCTGGGCTGGCGCCGCTCGCCCTCGCCTTCGCATTCTGCCCCCGCGGCCTCGGCCTCGGGCGGCGGCCGCCGGCGGCAGGAACGGCAGGACGCAGGGGTCGTCCGCGCCCCAGAACAGGGGGTCACTCCTCGCGCGAGGGAGGACGGAAGAGGGAGGAGGAACGATAGGGAGGGGGCAAGAGAGGAGGAGCGAGGGGGGGCCCTCCTGCCCGTCGCCGCCGGGGGCTCGGGCTCCTGGGCCTCGCGCACCGCAGGCTGCTGGCCTTGCGTGGGGGCCTGGCAGGCTTGCCTGGCCGGCGTCTGCAGGGAGCTCGGGCTACCTGACCTTGCGGCCTTCCAGCAGACTAGCCCGACGGCGTGGGGGAGGCCAAGGACGGGGGGCGGGGGCCGCGCGGCCCTGGTGCGCGGCACGGGTTGGTTCCGCGCCGCCGCGGGGCCGAGGGCCAAGGCGCAGCGGGCCCTCGCGGCGCCAGAGCAGCACGCGCAACGGCAGCGGCTCCTGGGCGCCTTGCCGCTGGACTGGGCAGCGCAGCCCCGCTCGGCCAGCGGAAAGGGCGCGGGGAGCTGGCTTCTGCCGCCGACGGAGGACCACGTGATGGCGGACGCGCACTTCCTCCCAGCCCTGGCGCTGCGCAGCGGCCCGTGCCCACGGCCGCCAACGCCACCTGCCTCCGACGCCCGGAGGACGGCGCGCGCTGCGGGGTCGCTTGGCCGCGACGTCGGGGCACTGCCTGAGCTGCCACGTCGGCGGCGGCACAACCCTATGCCACGACGGCGTCAAGGACTGGATGGCCAGCTGGCTGTGCGCCCGTGGCGCGACGGGCGTGGACACGGAATAGTTCGTGCCCACCTGGGACTGGCGGCGCGCAGACGGCTCCGTCGAGACAACTCGCCTCGATGAGGCCTACGCCGGCGCCGCGACTGCGCGGCTTACGTCGACGTGGTGGTCACGGACGCCGCCCTCGGCGCGGACACGCTGGCGGGACGAGGCCGCGCGGTATGGGGGACGGCGCTGCCGTGGCGGTCGCGGAGGAACGCAAGCGCCGGTGCTACCCCGGTCCAGCTCTCACGGTTTTCGCACTGGAGGCCCTGGGGCGTGCATGGACGGAGGCGCAGCCGCTCCTCCGCACTTGGGCACGCGGCGACGCCACCGTGCTGGCGGCGGCTCGCCAGAGCTTTGCGGCGACGCTGCAGCGCAGAAGCGCGGAGGCCTTCCGCTCCGCTCGCCTATGCGCGAATGGTGCTTCGCGCCGCGGGGCAGGCTGCGCCGAACGGGCGGCCCGCCGCGCGCGCGCGAGCTGAGTTGGGTAGCTCGCCTGGCTGCGCCAGGCGGCAAGCTGCCGGGGTGCGCGCTAAGCAGTGGCTGGCGGGCAGGCCGCTGGCAGCGGGGGCTCTCGGGCCCTTCGCCGCGGGCGCGGGGCGCGCGCCGGGGACGGCAGGGCGGCGGCGGTGCGGCTGCGGCTTGGGGGCCAGGACGGGGCACCTGCCAAGTCGGCGTGGAGCTGTGGTCAAGAGGAGCAGGCACGGCGGCGGCGCGGCGCTGCTGGGCGGCCGCGAGCGCGGCGCGCAGCTGGGGCGGCGGGGGGGCGCCGCGCGCGGCGGCGGCAGCAGCGGCGGCGCCGCGTGGCGGCGTCGGCGGAGGCGGCGCGGCCGCCACCTCCGAGGCACCGCCCGGGGCTGCAGGGGCGGCGACGCGCCGGGCAGCTGCGGCGCGCTCGGCGCGTCGCCCCCTCTCCCGGGGGGTCCCCGCGGACTCGGGACCCCTGGGGCTGCAAGAGGAGGGGGAGGATAATGATACTGAGAAGGAAGGAGGAGGTGGGGAGAGGAGGAGGAGGAGGAGGAGGAGGAGGAGGAGGAGGAAAAGGAGGAGGAGGACGAGGAGGAGGAGGACGAGGAGGAGGAGGAGGAGGAGAATGAGAATGAGGAAGAGGAGGAGTAGGAGTAGGAGTAGGAGTGGAAGTGGGAGTGGGAGTAGGAGTAGGAGTAGAAGTAGAAGTATGAGTAGAAGTATGAGGAGGAAGAAGATGAGGAGGAATAAAAGGAGGATGAGGAGGATTTTTTGCCTGCGCGGCACGAAGCTGCCCCAAACTCCCAAAGTGGTGGGCGAGTTCACCGAGGGGCCTGTTTGGTCAAGTCAAACCAGTCGGACACCGACTCTGGACCAGCAGAAGCAGAGGCAGACGCGCGGGCATGACCGCTGCTCGCCGCCTCCAAGAGCCAAAGTGTCTTCGACACTGAACTCAGCTGGCGAATGTCTTCCTCCTCCCCTGAAAAAAAGGGGCCTCCTCCTCCTCCTCCTCCTCCTCCTCCGTATTGTCACACCGCGGGCCGACGGAAAGCGTTACTCCACCGCGCTTCGGGCGCAAACCTTGCGATATCAAGCTCCAAACATAAAGACGACCTTGAATCCCAGACTTTGGCAAGGACAAGCGAGCGTTTCTGAGACCACGCACTTGCCCGCCGCCAGTGTAGAACTGACACAGGAGGCGCACAGTCGAGAAACAACAGCTTGTGCCACAGAGCAGAGAGAGAGAGAGAGCGCATTAACATCGAAGCCACAGATCCCGACACCAGGAGGAGGATGAAGAGGACGCGGAGGATGATGACGATGAGGAGGATGAGTATGATAATGAGGATGGTGATGATGGTGATGGTGATGATGATGCTGCTGCTGATTATGATGACGATGATGCTGATGATGGTGATGATGATGATGGTGATTGTGATGGCGATGGTGATGATGCTGATGCTGCTGATGATGCTGATGATGATGTCCATGCCGATGCTGATGATGTTAATGATGCCGATGTTGCTGCTGCTGATGATGCTGATAACGATGATGATGCTGATGTTGAAGCTGATGCCGATGCTGATGATGATGACACTGATGATGATAAGGATGATGCGGCGGAGGAGGAGGAGGAGGAGGAGGAGGAGGAGGAGGAGGAACAGTAGGAGGTGGAGGAGGAGGTATGAGAGGAGCAGGAGGAGGAGGTGGAGGAGGAGGAGGAGGACGAGGAGGACAAGGAGGGGGCACAGCGTGTGGAAGAGTCCCCGAGGAGGAGGAGGAGAAGGAGGAGAGAGAAGAGGAGGAGGAGGATGAGGAGGAGGAAGAGGAGGAAGAGGAGGAGGAGGAGGAGGG